TGTGTTCTACAGAATTCATGTAAAGAAAATAGTGTCTTGACTGTGTAATGTTTATGTATGTTAGAAAAGTTTATGCTTATCAGTAAAAGAAGTATCATTACGGAATTACAGTGTCTACACTGCACTTGAGATACTTTGGAAAGAAAATCGTTTCTGTCAGGATAGGGGGTGATGAATGTTTTTATAAATAATTATGGAAGAACAGTGGAGTTCTTTCTGTAAGGAAAACAGAAGCAGCAGTAAGAATGGAGCTGAGTATGTAGCATCCTTTCATAAAATATTTGCAGCTCATGTCTATAATCTAATTCCAGTGATTTTCATCATTTTTCCTAAGCCACTGGAAAGTAGACCATAGAATCACACAGTTATAGTTTGTTGCCTTTGACTGTTCCATCACAAACTTAAAATTTTAACTGTGAGTGGGAAATGGAAACAAATAGGAATATGTGATGTATACATGACATTTGCTTTATGACTCAAATAGTTGAGTCTAGTCTGAGTACTGCTTAATCTTCTATTATAAAAATTTGCAACAAAATAATAAATAACTAAAAAATGTCACTAACCATAACAGATTTGTGCACCAATGACGTAATGCTGTTTGGGGGTTATAATTAATGTTGCACAGATTTTGCCTACACGCCAATTAGTTTTATTATTTTTATATACGTGTGCAACTGCTTCTCGATTTATAAGATTGAAAGTGTCATTTCATAAATTGAAGCTGTGTAAATATGTCATTATTATAATATGTCAATATTACAGTATCAATTCCAATATGGCAATACTACAAACTTGATTGTAATACCTTGTGAATACTTACAATGTCAGAAAAGTTCTAACTATACTATCATTTCTGCTTAGTATAAGTCAGAGATGAGCTACATAGCGTAAGAAGCGCATGCACCTGTTGGAGTGAGTCCACAAGAAGGCCATGAAGCTGATCAGAAGGCTGGAGCACCTCTCCTATGAAGAATGGATGAGAGAACTGGGCTTGTTCAGCCTAGAGAAGAGAAGGCTCCAAGGAGACCTTAAAGCAGCCTTTCAGGACTTAAAGAGAGCCTAGAAGAAAGCTGGAGACAGAATTTTTACAAGGGCAAGTAAACATAGGAATGGATTTAAGCTGAAAGAGTAGATTTAGATCAAATTTTAGAATTAAATTCTTTACTCTGAGGGTGGTGGAGCTAGTAGCCCAAGGAAGTTGTGGGTACCTCATCCCTGGAAGTGCTCAAGGCGAGGTTGGACAGGACTTTGCGCAACCTGTTCTAGTGAAAGGTGTCCCTGCCCATGGCAGGGGTGTTAGATGAGCTTTAAGGTCTCTTCCAACCCAAAGCATTCTACGATTGTATGATCATGATAGATGGCTTCATTAATCAGGTTTAGGCAACACTTGTCTCTGAACGCCCAGAATAACAGGTTTGAACATTTTTCTGTTTTTCTAATAAAAGGTTTTGTTGATTAGCATATATGAAAAATTTAAGCTGATGCTCAGCAAAGACAGTTCTTATTTGGTGAGCTTCCCAGCAACAAGGGTGCATAAACTGGTTATCATCTTCCCCTTACTGTTTGTGAAAAAAAGTGTGGGTAGCACCTTATTTTGAAAACAGGTGCTGTATGAAGGAATGTATGCATCTCTTACAGATGAAAGGTCATTTTCTGTTGGTTTTCTGGGAACTGTTTGCCTGTAGGTAGTACTCTGCCTTTGACTAGTCTTTAAGAATACGCTGATCGCATAGATGCTGGTCACATGCTGACTAGAACATAGAACTTAAGAGCCAAAATAGCTTTTCAGGGTCTTTAATCACCACCGTTCACACAGTCAGGTATGGCCAGTGCATCTCTTTATATTTCTAAGTTATCTTCCCCTATCCCTCTCACCAGTATGTATATAGTTGACTTTTGCATCAGAAAAGAGGCCGATTCTTTGCCTAAAAGCCTTTACTTGCCTAGAAGAATTTACAGATACCCACATGGAGGCTTAGTAGCATCTTCAAATGCTACTTAAAAGAACCCAGTCTTGCCAAGATTTCATGTGTCTTCTTAGGGATACAACCTGGCTGTTGAATAACATCATGTATATTGCATTTGATTGAAGTCATGACTGTTTTTAGCCCTTAAAAAAAAAATGTACAGGATATTAAGCTTTTAGTGAGGCACATGCTTAGTAAAAGTTTTTTCAGTTTTACCACTGTAATACACAATTCATCAAATCATGTTTATTTTATTAAGGGTAAATAAGCTGGTTACCAGTGAAACTGTAAGGTAATTCCTCCCCAGATTTGATATCTTTGATATTTATGGAGGTGATATAGCAGTTGCCAGCCACACTTTAATAGCCTTGTCAGGCAAAACAAAGTGTTCACCAGTCCTATCTCCAACCATAAGCATTGCATGCCCATTATCAAAAGCTGTAGGGGAGGCTATTGCATTTCCATTCAACGTAAAGCCTCTCTTTTGTCTGTTCTTTTTGTTTACAGAGATGCCCTTAACTTTTAAACAACAGCTTGACAACTCACAAATACCACGTCATGATAAATGTCTTGAAGGGCATCTATAAAATCATAAACCTCTAGGTGTGCCCATGCAATGGTGAACTGTTAGTTTTGCATTCCAGGGTCATGCATCATTTGCTGTGCCTCCATGAGACAGTGGCCACATTCTCAACAACAAAATCACAGGGGTTGCATCATAAACCAAAAAAAAGTGGTAACCATACATTATGACAATGCTGTTGTGAAGGTTGGATCCCTGGAAAACATCCCACAGAGTTTTAAAACATGTACGCAATTTTGTATTTTGTGATTTATTTTTTTCCTTTATACATTCAGACTGCAAAGCAAAGCTGCCTTTCTGCCTGTGATCATTGATGCACTGGGTTGTTTTTTTGTCAGCATCCAGGTACCAGGCTGGGTAACTTGAAGCTTTCTGCTTCTAATGGAGGTACAAGTTTATATAATCAAAAGAAAAACTTCATACATTTCACAAACATTGTAAGCCTCTTCCAGAACCTTGTTTAGTTCAACAGTATTATATGTATCCCTCTAGTATGTCTGTAGTTGCAGTATCTCTGAAGGGTTTCAGCACAGATGCAGTACAAGAAAAAATAGCTTGCCATTTACCTTGACAGAAACCACAGGGAAAAACTCATAAAGCAGATACACTTTTACTTTAAGTGTACCAAAATAGGTTCTCAAGGTGTCAAAATTGTCAAGTGTAACTTCAGGGTGCCCAGGAGGGTACTGTTTTATTTTGCTGCGGAAGGACTAGAAGCTAGTATGATTCTAGAAATGATATTTTCATCAGGAGGTGTTTTTTTAATATAAGCGGACTACTCTTTCCTTGCCACTAAAACAAGCATCACTGGAATTCAGCAGTGTAGGCATTTTTTGTCTAAAACCTCTTCAAGCTGCCCATCTGATTTTTTTACAGTTTTCCATTCATGCTCCTGCTTAGATGTAGTATTAAAGCTCACAGTTTTTACATGTTTTAATGTGGTCCACATTAACATTTGATACAGCTGAGAAAAACACCTTTCAAGTGACTGAAAACTGTTGGTGCCTATCTACATCTTCCCTGCTGAGCGGTGCAGGAGGATAGAGAATGGGGGGTTGCAGTGAGTTTATAACAGGTTGTTTCTGCTGCTCCTTCCTCCTCACACTTTTCCCCTGATCCAGTATGGGGTCCCTCCCATGTGAGACAGTCCCTCCAGAACTGCTCCACCATCATCTTCACCACGGGCTGCAGGGGAACCTTGGCTCATGTGCCTGGGGTACCTCCTCCATCTCCTTCTTCACTGACCTTGGTGTCTACAAGGCAGTTTTTAACATTTTTTCCTCTCCCTCCTCTGTCTCAGGAACAATTTAACCCCTTAAATATATTTTTCCTCTAGTGTTTCTCACTCTTTTCTCCCCTTTCCATTTGCCTAAATGGCATTTTATTGGCTTTTCTCAAATACTCTTTCCCCACGGTGCCACCACCTTAGTTGGAGGGCTCAGCCATCCCCTGGGGTGGTTCTGTTGTAGCTGCCTGTAACTAGTTGTACCTTGCACAGGGCAGCTCCTGCCTTTCCATACAGATATCACTCCTGTAGCCCTCCCACTACTAAAACATGGGCACCTGCAGCCAATACAGGTATTGTGAAGAGAAGATCAAGCACTTTTTTATCCTTCTCAGTGGCAGTCATGTGGATGGGCAGAAGTGTTTTGGTGGTAGCAGAACAGAAAACAGTACACAAACATACAAGTAGAGACCAGCACAGAATACTAAAAGGGGTCTATAGACTGATCTAGCTGTGTGTTTTCATGACCTTCTTTCTCATAGAATATCAGCATAAAAATCAGCATGATAACTTCATTAGTGTATAAACTACAGGTCTCCCTCAAAGTTTTCACTTCCTGTTGACACTGACATTGACAGTACTAATTTGAGTCTTTTTGCAAGTCAAAACCTTCTCCTTATTAGTTGTGTGCCATGCAAATAATTGCTTTCCCTCCCCAGTCACAATGCTGCCCACTCTGTAATATTCTGATCAAGGATGAGGGAGTAGATAGTTTTGATTTTCAGCAGTATTGAAGAAATTGGGGAAATAACCTGTCCAAACCTCAAATCCCAGTGCTTGGGAAAAGCTGCTTAGTTTTTCACAGGTTAAAAATCCCTAGGGGAGTTTCCCATGAGCATTGCCCCTGGACACTGGACATATGGTGAATACATCTTACTGTTTATTTTGCATGATAGTTTCTCTCCAACAGCTGCTTTTGGGTAAACAGATTTTAAAACGCATTACAGTGTTCCTGCAATGAGTCTACAGCTGTGTGTGCCTCCATTAAACATTGTGGTTTCTTCTTCTGGCATTGAGTTGTGTAATATTTAATTTTTAGAAAACTAACAGTGAACGGAAATCAATGGTTTCAGAAGTTCCTTTTAAATGAAGAGGACATAAAAAAGTTCACTTTCAAGAACTGTTTTATCATCATTTTCTGTACCCATAATTTCTGCTAGTTTTTCACAATTCTCTTCCTATCATTTGTCCTAGTTAGCAAATCCATTTTCGAACCAGTCATTTGTCCTGCTGTGATTGAAATTTAATTCTCTATCTGAATAATCTTTCTAACAGTGCTGATTTCTGAAAGAGAATTTAATAGACATGTACAATAAGGAAGTTTGTATGTTTATGTATTTCCTAAAATAATCTGTCATTGGGTATTCTGTGAAATCACATGAAAAATCTACCATACTACATTTTTTATAATTTCTATAGGTATTTTGGGCTGTGATGAGAGGTTTGCAGAGAGTAATGAATTTGGCCAATGAACAGAATTTCAGTTCCTTAAGCTTTATAGATAAAATTTAATAAACAACCACATCTGAAAATATTAACTTTTTTAGATTTTGACTTTTAAGTGTTACAAACCCTCTGCAGGGGATAGTAGTGTGAGATGCATAAACCCTTTTTCATGACTCATGATTGGTTATATGACTCTGAATTCAAACTGGAACAATGACTGAATGAGAACCACCTATAGGAAGCCAATAGGTACAGAGAGGCACGGTCTTACCTTCCTGTGCTTTAATTGAAGAATCTGAAAAGCATTTTTAGGTCAGCGCAGTTATGCAACCAGTTCTCCCTCTTGTGAACTGAATGAAAAGGTTCCCAGATAGCTCCAATTCTGCTTGTGCTCTTGCTTCCCTAAAGACTTTCTTCTCTGTGGTCCAGCTCAGCAGTGATTTTGTCTGGTAGTTTTTCCTTTTCAACAAAAATAAATTATTTCTTGTTCTATGCATTTGCGGTAGTTTGAGAAATAATCAATTCACATGAATCTATAATGAAAAAAAAAAAAGAAATTAAACAAGTATTCTCCCCAAGCCTGTTAATATTGCTGCATAATCTGGACATATGGTCAGCAACATCTTGTTAGTCAGATTCTTTCTATTGATACTTTGTGGTTTTGTATTTGATTTTTGAATTCTGACATTGTTGCTTCACAGTAAATAGACCAGGACTAGAGTTCAGCACAGCCAGAACGGAAGAAATAAATACTTAATCATTCAGAAACATGGAAGAAAACGCAGGGTCCAGAGGTCAGACTGAATACTAGAAATAGCTGTTTATGTCATACAAACAGCAATCAATCCTGAAAGAGCAAGAGAAATGTTTTGGTTGTCCAAGAGACAATCCAGCGATGCCAGATGAACTCTAATGACACATCCCAGTTCCACATGCCTCTCATGTATAGTGGAATGGCCAGCAACTGGATTTCTCTCTTACTTCAGTTCCAAGCAATAAGTTTCTAATTACACACTCTGCATCCGGTATTGAAAGTGACTGCCTGTGGAAGAAAATATGTTGCAAATGTGTGAAAAAAAAGGATATGGGTAGCAATTTTTGGAGGCTGTTTAGGTAGCATTCTGATGAGTTGGAGAGATGAGAGGAAATGTTCTAGAGAAAATTATCACTGTGACACAAATGCCATGCATTATAGTTCAAAACAAGCAGCTGTGTCTGCAGCAACATCTCACAGTACTTTGATTCTGAGAGGGTATACTGCCATTTTGAAATATCTGCTATTGATGATCTGCTTACATAGGATGGTAAAACCTATGTAAAAAAAAAAGCAAGATACAGTAGTTACTGCAGATGCCAGGAGCCGGTACTGCTTAGAAACAGGTGATCATATTGGTCTAAAAAGAGATTTAAATCTCAAGTGAAGGTAATTAGTTAATTAAAATACAGAGAGTGGCGGTATCACCTGTCTATAATTAGGCACCTTCTGAGGCCATTTGAGATGAATTGGCTCATCTTGTCTGCCTTCTGACTGCCAGTGCCAGAGGAAACGATCTCACATACGCTTTGTTGCAACTGACAGCCCCATATGTATAGTTCAGGTATTTGCCTAAATTGTCACTAGTAACTACATTTACATAACTAAATTTGACTCGCTACCCTTTAAGAAAAAAAATGAAAATAGTTTTCAGACATTGCATGTTTTTACATCTCCTGAACTCAGTTAATGATCCCAGCTGACATAATACGTAAATAAACGGTTATTTCTAATAAATGCAACCTTGGGTAGGTTTTATACAGAAAGACTTCCTGGTAGACAGGTCACAGAAAAGATCTAATGCAATTCAGCTGAAGAAAGAGTAAGAAACCTTTCTGATTAAATCTTAATGCAACTTGATTACATTTGAAAGGAATTAGATTAACTCTGTTTTCTGTTACTCCATATATGTCTCATAACCCTTGTAACTGTGGATTCTACTCTGCATTTTGTTCATTTTACCTTGATGGGACATGAATGACTTCAAAGTAGCTGGAGAACAGGAATGCTGCATGCATTCCTGCTGCTCCCTCACATGCAGGGTAATTTCCTGCTTTCACTGTCACCGACTCTCTGAACATTGCAACAGTCCAGTCTTGTCAACTACGCCACCATGTCTGTGATCTGAATGAGACCATAGCCCTTCAATTGCATAGGGACTTCTCATTCCTCCTGTTTGCTCTCCATGCAGCACGCACCAGTGTACAGACAATTTATAGAGACACCTAAGTATGCCAATCTCCCAGAAACAGCATGGGAGTATTCACTGCAATGTTGTCCCACAGGCAGTTCCTTATTTGTATGCATACTCTTGGAGTGACCCCACTTCAACCCCATGCCATTGATTATAAAATTCCCCTTTTTCATATCATCTGCATCCTCTGCTCACTCAGTCACTCACCCAGTCCCCCACTTTCTCACATAATTGCTGATCATTCTCTCCCTCCCCTGCTGTTCCTAGCTTACAAGTGTTCTGGACAGCCTGCTGGCAAAGATACTTTTGCTTCAGTTAGTCAGTTGGATTGCACCACTTGCATGCAGTTGTCATAGAAACCAAACCCGTTTCTGACACCAGCTCCACGACCAGTTCTTCTCTTGCAGAATCCAGCCACTCCTCAAGCCTTTTACCCTGCACTGGCAGGATAGAGGAGAAAACCACCTGTACCCCCACACCCTTGACCATCATTCCCAGAACCATCCTTGATACTTTCTAGGTCATCCCAGAAAAGTATACTTGATGTCTGTGTGGAAAAGCAGTATCAGGTAACAGTTTGATGCCTTGATGAGCCTTGGCAGCCTTTCCAGAACAACTCCAGTGTGAACCTCCAGCAATTAGAAAACCCCCATAGTTCACAGGTCAGGTTGGCAGGTAGGAAATCCCACTGCTACAGCAGTGTCTCCCACTACCAACGCTTTCCTCCTGATGCTTCTGTATGGCTCAGGTTCAGCTTGCTGTGAAGTGTTTTTTTTTACAGTGCTCCCAGGTCTGCCACAGAATATATACGGACTCAGTCAGAGATCAATATGATCAGACAAAAAGCCATTTATTACAAAGCCTTAACCCCTTAAATACTATTTCTTACATGCACTTACAGTGATTTGGCATATTATGATTGGATACATGTCTTAAAGACCCTTTGCAATTAGCATATAATAGGTTAAGCACAGGTGTGAGAACTTGACCTCGAAAGCTTGCCAACAGTCCACAGTTCTCATTACCTCAGTGAATTCTAGCTTCTTCTTATCTTGCTTGCTTAAGCTTCCTTGGGCCTCTCACAGCCTTGCTGTATCTTTCAGGATTATTCAGACTTTATGTACCAATTATGCATTCTCCCGTGAGAACACTGTCTCCACATCTCCCCCTTTTTGTTTTATATACGTTTTGGGTGACCCTACTTGAGCAGGGGATTTGGGCTAGATCATATCTCCAACATATGCCAACTACAGGCTGCTGGGCCAGCCCCTTTTTTCTCCTGTATGGCTCTCTGGTAAGAGGGGAGGCCATCCTTCACATCAAGGTCTGGCATGGCGTGTGTCCCCACCGCTCCACGCCTGCTGGGTTGCAGCCAACAGCGGAGCTAAAGGTTCTTCTTGGTGGCAAACACAGAGGCCAACCCAGTATTGCCCTTGACTGTGGTAGCAGGCATTTTGTCAGCCTCAGTCCTTGCACCTTGCTGTCAATGCAGAGTTTCACCTGCTTCATCTAGTAACAAGTAGCTACTACAGCAAGGCACACACAAATTTACATTAGCAGAGTAACTATTACAGGGTGCAGCAGCATGTTGAAGATGCTGATGGCAGCGAGGGACTAGCCAAAGAAATTTCTTACCAGTGGAATTCTCCCACCCTCTTAATTTGTTCCATCACCTGCTGTCCTGGGTTCAGCAGTAGCAATCATGTTTTTTCCTTTGTGTTAACTGGTGCAGTGCTGTGTTTTGACTTCTAGTTTTGAGAACAGCGTTGGTGAAGCCGATGTTGTCGGTTGTTGCTAAGTGATGTTTACCCTGACCAAGGACTCTGTGAGGCTCATGCTCTGCCAGGGAAGAGGGGAGGCTGTGAGGAAGCAGAGGCGGGGCGCCTGACCCGGGCTAGCCGGGGAGGTATTCCATACCACAGCACGTCATGCCCGGGGTGGGGGGTAACTGGGAGTTACCCGGAAGGACAGGAGCTTCCGGGTGGAACTCGTTTTCTTGGCCGGTGGTATCGTATTCTCTTCCCTTGTTATTTTCCCTTATCATTGTTTTAGCTGATAGTAGCGGTGGTGATTTGTTGCTGGACTGTTCTTGTCTCAACCCGTAGGAGTTGCACTCTCTCGATCCTCATCCCCGTTCCTCCGGGAGCGGGGAAGGGGAGAGCCCCGGTGCAGGGAGGGGGGGGGAGACGAACACGGTCCTTGATTGTTGTCAGCTCGGCACCACTCACTGGGAGTGAGTGAACAAGTTACCTGACTGGGTTTAAACCACGACAGTTCTTCTTTTTTTTGGCGCCCAACGTGGGGCACGAGGGGTTGAGATAAGAACAGATCTGACTGGATTGATAGTCACTCGTCACAATGCTGATTTATTGGCTCTCAAGGTTTTTCCTCTTGATCTCACAGTTTCAGTATACCATATCTTACGTCCATCCGGTATTGGCTGTATTAGTGTTTTTCAAGTGTGGGGCTTGGGCTAAGGTTTTTATCCCATTGTACTTTATGGTAATGACTTGTAATACAATAGAATCATTGATCATGAAACTGATCTGGTTTATGTTCCCAGTGTGGTCACCACCTTTATACTTTGGGAGGTATATGATGGAGGTGCTTAGCAATTACACATCTTTTTTCTCCTTCTCAGTTGCTCAACCTGTGAAGGAGACATCCTTTTACCCTCCTAGTCGTCCCCCCAGACCATTTACATTTGAGAGTTTTGAATTTTTTAAATGGCCTTTTAATGCTCTTGAGACTTGTTTGCTGATGGTGATGGGAATCACCATGCTAACACGCATACAGAGTGTGTTTTGCCCACTACTGATTTCAAGAGTTAAGCAGATTCAGGTTTGGGTCTTGTCTGGGGTCAAACGATGATGTAGGAGGACCGAGAGATTTTCCCAGAGGCTGGACAGCCATGAGTGGCAGGGTGTGTGGGATAGTATGGGCAAGTATCTAGGTCAGTGGGCCCTACCAGTATTTTGGAATTTCACTACTGAACAACTGCAAAATCCAGAAGAATTAGTAAAACACTTAAATGAGGTGTGTGGTCATTCTGGCCATACCAGAGATGGACAAATCACGGCAACGTGCTGGGGCTTGGCCTATGCTTACAGGGCCTTGTTCAACACTATCCAGCACCTTCAAAAGGAAAAGAATGTCGGCGGATTTGAGGGCAAAGCGACAGTCGCTACTCAAACTTTGGCTGCAATGAACTGCGCAGCTACCCCAGTGGCA